AAAAAAAAAAAAAAAAGTAAAAAGTGAAAGAAAGACCCAAGTCCGTCGACAACCACACGCCCCATGCAAGAGAGTAAAAAGAAGATTAGTGGGCGTGCTGCTGCAAGCCACTCTCAGAAACAATCGGCGGCACCGATCCGCCCGTGTATGTACGTGTGCAGAAGGGGAAAAAGGAGACGAAAGGAAATCCAGATGTTTCGTAGGGAACGAATGTGTGCAGTGTGTTGCGCATGTGCAGAAGTGTTGTGCCCGATCCAGTCCCGCCCTTCTATCCAGGTCATTAAAGAAAAGAAAACCGCCGTTGAGCCGTAAGAAGACGGGCTCGACTATGGACAAAGGAACGATGCTCGCGATAAGAGCTGCTTCGACTTTCGATCTCCATTCAGGAGTGTGTCACGCGCATGCATACGCAAGGCGCGACGTCCAAACGTCCCTCAAAAGCAGGAGACGTAGACACTTGATCCGAAGTTGGTTTGCTGCGTTGTCGAGGACGGCAAAATTTAAAACATTGCTGAACCAGAACTGCGCCGATACGCCAAGTTGAATGCCGCAAGATCACCCAAACCGAAGCGAACAAGGCCCTCCTCTACCGAACGCCAATAGGGGCATGCGGTCCCAGGCTGCTTTGACTGCTGGCCGCGGAGGGTTCAGAATCTACAAGAGCGCTGGCGCCGCTATCACCACTCTCCGCGCTAGCGCTCGCACTTCCAGTCAGACTGCGAACTTGAGGGCCTTTTCTGGGCGGGTATTGGTTGCTTACACCTGCGTGTTGCTCAACCGCCTGCGGTGCCACTGCGTTGCCATGTCCCGGCGGATGACGGGGGACTGGCTGCTTCATGCCCGGGGGAGACGGCCTACCGTTGGGCTGCGGTCCGTTAGCGTACGGAGGATAGCCACCAGGAGGCGAAGGCCTTCCACGGCCCGGACTGAGTGGGTTACCAGGTGATTGACTAGCTCTGCGTGGCATTGGGTAGGCGCCGTAGCCGGGGCCGGCCATCTCGTCCAAACGAGCTGCGGTCAGCGAGTTCGTCCTCGACTGTTGACCCATGTTTGCGCGGTCAACGTTTCCGTAGCGATCAGAAGAGTATCCCAAAAGAGCGTTGTTCATGAGAGAGTCATGGAGGCCTGGCACGTCGTTCATCAGTCTCGCCGAAGTCCTCTTGTTACCCATCATGGGCCTTCCGAATGCGCTCCTGGAGCGCGACTGCGGGCCGTTGCCGCCCATCTCGGGGTTCTTGCGCAGTTGCTGCGCGCTGGGTGCTTTGCGGGTGCGACGAGAAGTGATACTCATCATGTCAAAGTTTTCAGGGTCAACCATAGGGGCGCGGGGAGCCATCGGGTCAAAGAAGTCGCCATCCTCCTCGTCATAGTCGCCGGCGACCGAAGCCGGAGGCATAGGCCTACGCGGGCCAGGGGGTCCGGGAGGACCACGCATCCTGAACTCCTGCTCCCTCAAGGCGAGTTCCTTCTGCCTCAACGCAAGTTCACGTTCCCTCAGGGCCAAATCGGTCGACGAGGCCGGCGCACTGTCGGGGTAAACACCGTTGGGAACGAGGCCGTTGGGAATCTCAGCACCGTCCTCCGGAACCGCATCGTACAGCATCAAGTGGCTAAACTCCTCAAGGTCATTACCCTCGAGCGACGGGCGTCTGTTCATGGGCGGTCCGTGGGGGCCGGGCTGGGGCCTTTGTGGGTAACCGTTCGGCGGGGGCGGGCCTCTCCTCATCATCGGTGGAGGACCTTGTCCAGTCATTGAGGGCGCCCTGCTACTGGAGCGCATGCCGTTCTTCATCGGCATGCCGTTCGCAGGCGGTCCGCGGGGCATCGGTCCAGTCATGCGCGGAGGGCCACCCGCCTGGGGCGACATCGGGGCAGCGGCAGCAGGCCTTTGCTGGTTGACAATGTTAACGTGGTGCAGCATGGCGTACACAGTCTCAATCCTGGGCACTGCAACGTTCGCTTCCTGAGCAAGCTTCAGCGGCGAACCAAGGTAAGTCTCCACCTCCATCGGACGCTTCGCGGCAAAGTCCTGGTACATAATGCTGTTCGTCTCCTGCGGGCGGGCCATTGCTGCGATCGTCGTATCCTTGAAATCGGAGGGGAAGCTACAACCTTGCGCCGTTGCGATCTGCAGGAGCTCATCGATCACCCCTGAGATCAGCGAACGCACGCCCACCTTCTCAATGAGCTCAGCGTGGTTGGCGTTCTCGAAGAGGACGCTCGCGGGATGGAAAGCAATGTTTCTTCGCATACAGTTAGCAGCTGCAAGGAAATGTCTGGGTGCGAGGTGTCCTTACCCAATCATCCGCTCGTACTGCTGTTGCCGGATGTTCTTCGACACCTTGCAGTCCACCTGTCCCGAGCTAAGCGTCATCGCCAGCGCCTCGGCCATGTCTGTCTGGATGGATCCGGGAATTGCCGGGTTCTCGTTTGCAGCACCCACCCAGATATCAGAAGCGTCCTGGTGCTCAAACTCGCTGGCACCCAATTGGGTGATCTCAGCGCCCGAAACGAGTGACAGGACGACATTGGTGGGGAAGCGCTGCTCAAGGTACGACTCGACGCCGATGTTGTGGGTGGTGTTCATGAGAATGCATGTGTGCTGCGGGGAAACGACGGACTCGATGACAGACGCAATGTCATAGACGTCAGGAAGGGCCTTGACGCAAAGAAGGACGTAGTCGAACGGGGCTTTCGAGGCTTGCGCCGCATCTTCGGGCGAGCGGACGACTGTGCTGGACGTCAGAGACCTGCGTGCATGAAAGAGTGAAACAGCGCCTCCTCATGGGACGTACCTGCGTGAGGCTTGAACCGTTCGTTGCCGTACTGCTTGGACCTGGAAACCAAAAGTGTTAAACGCCAAACCGGCAGCGGCAAAGGCGGTACTGCACCACGTACTTCATCGAAATGCCATATTGCGCCACGTTCTCAAAGCCCGACTTCCAGACAAGGGTGACGTCGCAGGCGTTAGTGGCCTGGAGACGCCAGGAGAGGAAAGCCGACACGGCATTGCCGCCGACTGCAGGCAGAGAGAGAGAGTCAGCTCGCGGGTCGTCGAAGCAAAGCCAAAAGTAAAAACGGAGCGACGGGACGTACCTGACAGGATCCTCAGACGAGGAGTGGAGGGAGCCATCGAAGTCGAAAGTTTCAAAGGAGATTGGGTTTAGGGGAAGCGGTGCCAGAGGGTTGGCAAAATGTCGAAAGCGGGCGCGGATCCAGCAGCTTTGGACGGGCGCGCACAGGACCAGGCAAAAGAATTAAGGTAATTACGACGAGGAGAACGAGCGAAAGTCGAGCGCTGAGAGACGGGCGGCCGACATGTAACGGTGGGGGAGGGCGCGGGAGGAGAGGGAGGGGGTCGGAGGGGGGAGGGGGAGGGATGGTGTCGTGAAGGAGCGTTTGTGAGCGGCGGAGGTGGTGGAGAGTTAGGCTGTCGGCTTCGGAGTGAGGAAGGATCTCTGCTCAACGGTCGCGAAGCGGATGGACCACGCCAGCGCGAGGATCTGTGGATTGCGGAAGCTCCCACCACTCACAGCGGCGCGAGCAGAGCAGCCACGGTGCAGGAGAGAGATTGGCCCTTGTGCCACGGGCAGTCGCGACGGGCCCAGGAGTCACGAGTTGACTGACAAGAGACGCTGCACGACAGCGGTGCACTGCCCCGTTGCGCACGGCATAACCTCCTTCTTCCATGATTCCCTCTGCACCATCGTGATCCCTCCCGCCAATCCCGGGCCTGCCCCCGCTGCTTGCGGTAAGGCGGCCTCGAACACGCCCCTTTTCCGTCATGGGTCATTGTCGACTATTTACCTCTAGCTACGCAGCTACGCACGCTACATAGGATATCTCGATGAGCCTTGCCCCCCCCTAGCTTGGCGTCCTTTTTTTTTTTTTTCCTGCTCTTGCTCGTCTGCGTTTCAAGAACAATCTTAGCACTGTCCAGCGTGTGTGCGTGACTAGTCGTGTGTGTACTGTACCCCAGAATAGAAACACGATGCTCTCTTCTCGCTCTCGCTCTCTCTCGCCAGCTGCCGGTCCTTTATTTGTTTCAGGATCGGCGCTGCGCAAATCGTGGATCTGTTCCGTTTCAGTGGGGGCTTGACTGCCCCTGTCGCGGCTGCTGAGCTGATCACCTCTCGGTCTGGTCTGTCTGCTAGGAACCCGGTCCATCGGAGTCGAGTCGCTCGCCATTTCCGACTCCGAATAATGTCGAGATCATCTCCGTCTGGGTTGTGTAATTAACCCTCTTCACGCAACGTGCTTGTGGCCGCGCGCGGAACATTCGTCATGGCCTCGTCATGATTGTCGTCGCCCGGGACGCGCGCGCGCGGGCCTCGGAGAGTTATGAAGAGGGGGGGGGACGAGGAGACAGCGAAAGGGCCAAATCTCCGCTCCGTTTTCTTTCTTTGCCCATGCGGCGGGCCCATAAAGCGAATACGGCCAACTTGCCACGCTACTGGGACGCGAAGTCGATCTACTACATGCTCTGGACGAAAGCGGACGCGTCTGACCAGTCGCAAGCTTCAACGGTTCCGTCAGGCCGCCCCAGACTGGGCACTGGCAAAGTCCGAGTGCGCGACGAGAGAGGAGAGAGGGGGTGGGCGCCCTGCCGCTGCACTACGGAGCGACGGCCGTCCACATGGTTGGTTGGTTGCCTGCCTCCAAGCCCGTTGTTGTTTATTAAAATAATGCTCCCCCCCAAAGCACACTCTCACACCAGACACCAGACGTCGAACCAAGGCCGGTCGTCATCCTGCCAAGAGCCCCGAAGGTCGCGCCCTTCCCGCCTGGCGTCCGTGCCCAGGCCTCCCAGACAGCCATCTCGCGCAGCGTCAGTGGCTGGCCCGACTTTAATGAAGGCTGAAGGCTGATTCGAATCCTCTTTTCTTCCCAAAAAAGCGAAACAAAAGCCTGCCACCATGCCTATTTCTGTGCGCCGCGCGCCCGAGCCGCCGTTTCGTTTTGTCGCGCGCGCGTTCTCTCTCTCGACACCGACTGTCTTTCCATTCTCTCAATCTCTCCTTCTCCCGCTCTCCCGCTCTCCCTGCCACTGCTGACCCGTAGGTACCTAGTTACCTACCTACTACCACAACAACCACAGCAACCACCACCATAAGCCAAGCCTCGCACTCCCTCGACACGCTTCCTTCAGCCCCTCCAGACCGCCTCGTCAGGCATTGCATCATCAACCGGAGATCGCCCCTCTCGGATCTCCCTATCCGCACCTCCTAGTTCCTCGCACCTATCAATCCACCCGCGCCTCCTCGCAATCATAACAGCAATCATAATATAACAGCAGGCCCCCCAGGCCAATCCCGCATCATGGCCACCCTCTCGCCAAAACAATCCTTCCCCACCGCCGCTAAGGTGCCATGTACCGTGGCCCTATATCCCGTGCGGATTACTCTGTTCGAGTAGCTTCGACGAGTGGGCGGCCAAACACGCGCCCCCACCGTGCCCGGAGATCAATCGCGCAACCGAGATTTGTCGCGACGCCCGCCCGCCAGGCCGCGGTTCGGCTTCGCTGCTGCCTGCTCCGTCACTGGCCCATAGCCGTCGGCCTTCCCGTGCCTGTCAGTTGCCAAAAAAAGAGGCCAGCAACTACCTTGTACTACATATGCACAGTTGTGGCGTTTGCGTAGCGTGGCGTGTGTAGCCAGGTTTTTGCCCTAGCACCCTAGGAGTTCATACCTTGATTTTTTTTTTTTTTTTTT